TTTGAAGGTTAACGGTGAATGTGTCAAAAGAAGCCCACACTTTATGATTCAAAAAGAAGATATTTTAATGATTACTAAAAGCTTTATTGTGCTATTGAATTGGGTGTTAGTACAACGGAAATTGCTTCAAATTAAAAAATAATAATAAAAAAATTTGCCCCGAAGAAGTTACAGCTGGAATTGAAACTCCTCTGCGGTTTCAAGAAAATGGCAAAATAGAAATATATAATTGCCACATCCATAGCTGCAAGCTATATTAACTCAACTAGAACATAAAAATTTACGTGGAATTCTTTGAAAGACTATTTCATCAAGTGAACGGTTTATAATTAACTTGTAATTTGCATAAATTACATTTTAAATTTCGCTGATGATCATAAAAATGATAATATACCTAATTTAATTACATAAAACAATTATACCAATTTTTGAAAATTTTCTTAGAAATCATCTACAGATAAAATCTTAAATAACATGGAAATAAGTAATAACATTACCTAATCTACTTGTAATCTATTACAAACGTTTTCTTTTAATTTTACCGAAAGAAAGTAATTTTTTTCAGGATGTATGGAAGTAACTTCATCCATCGATCAAGAGATGCGGAGCTATTTTCAGGATCTCCAAATCATAGATCACACCCCCTAGTGTTGTGTTGATACAGCTTTATTTGTATCCAAAGCGGACACCGACCTGGCGGGATACAGTTTAGCATCCTGCAGTGCTCCATAAACACAGGAATCTCCCAGATAAGAAACGTCCAAAGGGGATGAAAGCAGTTAGGAAAGATTTCATCAATGCGATGCTCTGTTGGAATTTATTTTTTTACTGGTTTTAACTGTAAGGATAGTATTTTCAAGTGAATGCAATTTATATAAAAATATTTTTATGTTGAAGTGTCTACAAAATATATGTAACTTATATAGATTTTATATATAGGTTATATTTAATTTATCATACAGTTATTCTAAGTAGGTTTGAATTAAGAGTTTATTCATTAACAAAATATTTCATTGTGAGACAAAAAAATATGCTCTTACATCAGAAAAGAAATTATTTATTTATAGTTAACCATAGTTATATTCCAATATTTAATAAAATTAAAATCTGTTTATCGTGAATACTTTAAATATAAATCATTCGTTTCGTTACATTTAATTGAATTCTCTACTGTTTTAATACTAAGAAATGCAAATAAAATGTACTGTACAGTACAATACAAATAAAAGCAACTCTATAAAATAGATAGTTTAATATATTGTAGAATACATTTTTTTTTAAACTCATAACACCGTGTTCAGACAAGCTCTTCTTTCGTTGTTACGTTACGACTGGCTAATCAAAGAAAGAGTTATTGATATTTGTAACGCCTTAAATATAAAAATATAATGTCTTTTTTGATTGGCCAGACGTAACGTAACGTAACGAAAGAGGAGCCTTTCCGAACATAGCTTAACTCATAAACATATGATTAATAAATTTACATTAAATAAATTAATAGGTATTTAGGCTACTGCTTTTTGGGTAAAATGAAACCATGAAAGAATTGAAACTAACATTAATTATTCGAAAATAAAAAAGGTAACACTCCTTTTATTAATCAAACCTTTAAAGTTGGCAAAATGAGTAAAAGCTATAAAAAATANGTACAGTGATTTATATGATAAAATACAATTACCTGAGATAGTGACCATTAAGCTGGTATTACACATAAGATATATATACACATATTTAAACACGGGAGGAGGAATGAGCAAATAGTGCTATCATATCAATATACATGCACCTGAGGATAGTATAATGTGTGTTAAAATAAAAAGTGGTATGCACAAAACTAAAAAAGTATATATTAAAAAGGTGTAAAGTCAATAAAGCAACCTTTTTCCTCTTAAAGTGTTCCTGTATGATACGTTGTTTATAAATTTCAAACTATTTAATAAAACAAATATTATTTTTATTTAACATTAATATCAGGTTTATCAGGCCCTACTGCTGATGTTAGAATCGACGAGTTTCACATTGTTGTAAGGCTTAGGCATTATTTCTGCTCTATAAAGCTTACGTGGGTTTTAAAAAATTACGTGTCAATGTCAACCAAATTGTAAAACGACACGTGGTCGAGTAATTTGTTTACGGAGCAGAACGAATGTTTCAAAATTCTCTTCAATGGAGATGGGCGGACAGACGCCCGATTTAAGGAACAAGTTTATTGGCAGTTGTTCATATCATTTCAAATTATTTTTCCAATCGAAGAAGTAAAATAAAACAAACTATATTAATATGGATTTGTCTTTCCGGCTTCATAAATTCTTCGATGTTGCTCTTCGATTAACACATTAACGATAAGTCGCTGTTATTAAGCAGTGACAGTTGTCGATGACCACATAGTAAAGCAGACAGTTTGCGAGTAGTGGCTCCTCCCAGATTTACATACGGAGCGTGTTAAGGACGAGATCAGAAAAGGAAAAAAGACTCCATCTGCCGGAGGTGCTCAGCAATGTATAGTCAGGCCTATAGAAGGACACGCCCCTGGTACCAAAGTTGTCTATCGGGCGTAGGTGCGTAACTCGTTCCTTCCGTCGGATTGACCGGTTGTCGAAGGACTTGCTCTACTCTGCGGGAATAACAATTCAAGGATCGTTTTTTGATGATTAACGGTTTACATCTTAAAACGAAACACTTTTCCCCCAAATAGGCAATCGATACTCTGAAAGTACTGAGAAACTGGCTACCGATTTCCTGCAAATGGCCAAGATAAAGAAGCTAGATAGCCTCGCAATATTTAAGAAGTTAGCAAAACGTTATTCTTATTTTGACAGAATAGATACGTAACTTTTTACCTGCTTAAAACATTTATCTCGCCTTAAAAAGTAAGCCGATAGAATTGGTTCTTCGACCTTGTACTCTTTGATATCGATAAGATCGAAGAAGACTCGCCTTTCCTTCGTGACATAGATTAAAAATAAAATCATTCTAATTTGATTTTAAATTAGGGATTATTTTATTCAAACGTCAATGAGTTATTAAACTAAAAAGTTATATCATTAAAATATTCAAAAATAGTTCTGTAGTGCCATTAAATAATCTACAAAATTTTAAATTATCTTCCAGTTTCTATTGATCCTTTTTGTAAATACATCAATAAGAATATTATTTTTAAATTATAATCTATCGTAAATTATCTAAATAGCTTAGAGGCTTCTCCTGATTGAATATTTACAACCTTATTTAAATCCAATCAATAATCAATTTATACGAGCCTGAAAGAATAACTCGTATAGGCTAGTTTTAAAGTAGGCGCATCGTGATTTTAATTTAATGTGAAATTTAAATAGTTCTTTTGTTAACAATATTCATTTAAGAATGTTGGTTTCTATTAATTTTAAGCGCCAAAGAATGTAGATTAATTGTGAATTAAGAAGTCACGTATAAAAACCATTAAGTTCTGTGACACGCATAGACTTAGTCTAAGGAATCACTAAATGGTCGGAGGTTGCGCTTCAACCATATCTAGCTTTTGTTACAAAGTCGATTATAAACGAAAGATAGAGATCCATCAATCGTTTACTGTCAGATAAATGTTTTTGTCTTAAACTATGACTGATGACCACGTTTTCTATAAGGGATTTCTTAAGAGTCTGGTTAATGAGAAGGACGTTTTAACTAATTTTAAAGGATCTTAATGAATATCTTGTTTTCGTGCGACTTAAGGAATAAAGGCAGTTTAATAAAGGAGTGAAAAAGTTTTTAAGTGGGAGGTGACAACGACGAATCATCATTTATTAAACGGAGAGGTCAAACTGTCTGTAGAGTTCCACCAATGGCAGATAATAATAGGGTGGTTCGGTAGAGCTGTAATTAGCTTGGATTAAGGCTAAGAAGAGAAAGAAGACCGGCAAATTAACCCTTTGCTTCCTTAGGGCAGAGGTGAATTAGTATCCAAAAGAATAAATTCGGCTCTGATTTAGAAATTTTCTATTAAAATAAGGAAATGATTTTTATTAAAGAATAGAAAGGGGAAAACATTTGTAAGATTCTATAATTTCCTAATTTCAAATAAACTGCAGGTCTTTTTTTTTTAACTATTGCAAGAACACTGTTTGGAAATATGCGTTAAAAATTATCAGTTGAATTTGAATATTATTCTGGCAATAGGCCTAACCGTAAAATATATTGCAGTGATATATCAATATATCAAAAGACAGTGATAAAAAGAGGATTGTCATATTTTCATGAAAAAAGTTAAAAATGATTCGATGGCAAATGTTAACATCAATAAAAAGGAAAAAAAAAGACTTACAATAGAAATTAAAGTATTAAAAAATAAAGTATAAAGACACTTCTCAGAATACTAAATCGAGATAAACCTTAATGTAAACAGAAATCAAATCACCAGGAAGATATTGACAGTCTTCGAAGACAATTAAGACTATGAATGGAACAATGGGACAAAACGAAGTCTTAAACCAAAAAAAAAAGTGATTAATTGACCATCACATAGATAGAATTGTTTGTAGATAGTATCAAAGTTGCTTGTTATTAAGCCTTTGATGCATAAAATTAAACAAAAAAGGCAGTTCAAGTGATGATCACCAACAGATTTAAAAAGTTGGATCAAACTCGATTGTGTAGAGAGGAAGAGAGCGTAGGAAGAAGCCCCAATTATCAAGGTTAAAAAGTGCGTCAGAAAGAATAAAACATATAGACCTACTACTTATTGCATAAGGTCTAAGCCTGTAGATTCATTTTTTGTTTAATGTTATAAGCCTTTTTTTAACTTAAAATTATTGATAACGGATAATTATACTTGACAATATAACTTGGTCATTGATTAGCTGATCTATTGGGCGTAAAAAATTTGCGTGGTTAGAATAGTTCATGTTAGTAATTTTAGTATTTTTATTGCGTTAATGTATTTTAATAATACATATTGAACAAAATTACTATAGATCAAATTTGAATCAACTATACTGATTTTTATTTTTGTTTTATATTTACAGAGCAGACATATGAATGAATGGTTGAAGAAAAATAGGTGCGTTCTTCAAAAACGTTTGCAAGATCACCTGACCGGAAGGGAGGAAAACAAAATTGACTGAGAAGCTAAGAACAGGTGCGGAAGTGATCCACGCTTCATCGTTAACGCCTTTTTAGAATTAGTGATGTCACTGAATGGAAATTTAATTAGATTTGAACGATCTTTTCGTGGGAAGATATGATATTTGAAAAATAATCAAAAATTACATGGATTACAATTTTGGATAATTATCAACCTGCGAATAACCTTATTGATTAGACGAGTTTATTAGTCTTGTATTTGAAGTGAAATGTCGAATAAAAAATAAGAAGACCTTCTATGAAAACAGAATGATGGAGTATAACAGCCGAACGAATACGATGCATATTACGTCTTTTTTATTCACTCCCTACGCAAGGGCGGTCACATGACTAAGGACGGGAAGTGGACTCGCCCATAATATGCTGCGACAACATACGACAATCCTCCCACCTCATTTGGGCGGGGGTGAGGTTTGTCAGGGCGGGGTTGATTAGTGGAAGGTACCGTATATCTCTTGGGCCAGCCCTTGACACATTTTACTGGCTTTTATAAATACATACTTTCCTAATTATGTCTATCGGCAAGAATCGAGAGGGAGAGAAATCTTAGCGCCGCATTGCGGATAAAACAAGAACTAGGTTACTCTATTCATCGAAATTCATTAATCTTACGAGTCCAATGCCTGAAGATATGTTCTTTCATCTATTGAATTTATAAATTTAAATTTCTAGACATAATTTTTATTATTCTTCTAGCGCTATTTTCCAATAAATATTTATACGAATTACGAGAATCATATGTAAAAAATATTAGTAGAGAAATAGACCTGAAGTGAATAAAATCTACTGTTTTCAAGCTAACTTTTCTCTTTCTATCTCCAGTCTGTATGCACCTAAATGATCTAGGTTTAACATTATAAGATTAGCAAAAACGATTTAAAATGTTGACTCTGTAGTCTCTATAATCGTTTTTGATTCTGTTGATTAGTAGGCCTGAAAGTGTTCGTATAGATAAAAAAAAAAAAAAAAGGTGGAGTTTCCGAGAAATAATTTATTGATTACTTATATAGTCATATAATAAAAAAGAAAAGAAGAATCCAGTAAGGGCAAATGACTGTATTTTGTCATTTATAGGCCCACCACGTCTTTTATGGATCATAACAGGAAACAGAAATTGTTTTATTCCGAAAGAAAACAACAATTTACTTTACTGAAGGCAGATTTTGATGATATACGATCCTTTGTCTTCGTTTGTTAGACTTATTAAGAATTCTAGCCTCGGTTTACATTATAAATCTTTAAATCGGAACATTATATAGTAGAGTGGGAGATGGTCGAATACTCTTCCCTCATTTATCTGTGTTACGATGTAGCTACTCGCTAACTCAAGCTCATTTACGTATCGCAGATCGCAGGCAATTTACTACACCTCGCAGACTATTTATTTGATTGTTGTCTCATTTCCGGAAGTTTTCTTACAAAATATTTTCTTGTCTTCATTTCCCTATCTCATTAAAGAAAAGTTATAACGTACTATTGATTGCTAGGATCCGGCTAACAACAGCCATAAAGTCCACTACTACAAGCGAGTTAGTAATGCTTGAAGGACGCTTCATTCGAGACACCGAAGATAAGTCAGCCTGAGGATATTGTCTCGACTCTTGGTATCTTTCTAGGTTTTTGCCTCCCAGCTCTTTTTCATTAGAAAGTTTGACTCGAAACACGTCTGTCTATTGCTACAGGTGATATTTATGTTGTTTGCCAATAATAAGGACCATGCTGGAATGCTGTAAGATAACATTACTTAATCTAACCTGGTTCAATAATTCATTCGTATCATAACTAAAAAATTCACATTTGAAGTGAGCATAGAATGATTTAAAGTTATTTTATCACTTTCGCTATAAATTTTTAAAATCTTACAAAGAAACAATGATACATTATTCGATTTACATTCGATATTTTTTATCGCAAGTCTATGAATGAAATTACAGTCGTTAGGAAGTCTCAAAATTCAAGGATAAAATTTTAAGATTTCTGACGCGAATTCTTGAAAGAACCTTATAGCCTACACAAGGTGGTCTACTAGTAAAAAATTCATAGTAGGCTTAATTTATGGTAATAAATGCGAATAGCTTTGTAAGTTATATAAGTTATGATTTATGTGTGATTTGTCTGGAAATTTTTCTCAACTTTTATTATTAAGTTTTAAAGACAAAGAATTTTCTAAAGATATTTTCATCTTCCAGAATTCTTATCTTATCTTAATTCTAACTGCGTGAATATTTTTACATTTGCAAGAGGCNGTAGTCTGACCCTAAATGACCCAAGTTTGGCTTCTACACTCTTACTATTGAATAACCAATGAGGTTCTTTGACTGGGCCGGCACGGGGTTATACTTTGACTTATTGTCCCTCATCTCTCAAATGCCGGAAGAGTTGAGTAGAAATAGGAAAGTGAAGGAGGATCTGGGAGTGAAACTGACCAACCTAGCGGACATTGTCCTCTGTTTTGGCGCCCAAAATTCTGCTTTTAAGAAAGTGGGTGCAGTGATGATGGTGCAACGATGGTCTTACGGAACCGAGGTGAATTACCTTCAAGGTAAAGGGCGGTTGTTCTGCGTGGTGCGATATCGTAGGTGATCTGGTTTTATGCTTAAATGAAAAACTTTAGATCCTTTGGAAAATAAAAAGATGGGAGTTGGAAAATCTATAATTATCATTTAAACGGCTATTGATTTTTATAAGCTTATGTTAGTGAATGATATTTAAATAGTATACTCGATTAATCAATATGAAAAATAGATCAATAATGTAACCTACGACATACAAAACTTGAGAGAAATTTTCATATAACATAAACTTGTTCTTGCTTTTTTTTATTATATTTTTGTACTTTTTTTAAAATTAAAATATAGAGATTATTCATAAATATCACCTGTAGCTAACTTATAAGAATATATACAGTAAATTAAAGTTGATGTGACCTACTAAAAAAAGGAACAAACAAAAAAATTTCAAGAATAATAGCGTTATTTTTAAAGTTCCATGCGAAAATTAACGGAAAAAAGCAAAATAATTTTATGTTTGCGAAATAAAAAAACAAAAAATTAAATGTGCTCGAAGCTTCTTTCCTATAAATCGTTGTAGCCTATTTCTTAAATCATACAATTTGATAAAATTAGGTAAAATCTTTTATTTCATAATCCTAGTTTTAATACTCAGCATATGCTCTTTCAATAATTAATATTTATAAAAATTATTTTACATTCCTTATGAATTTGCTCAGTGCCAGTCTTTTAAAAGAGACTGGCACTGAGAAAAGTCAGAAGCTGAAGAGGGGTCTAGATCGGAAATACATTCTGTGAAATGACAATTCCGTGTGCTAGATTTCGCCATATTCTTTCAGATAAAATAGGACTTATCACACAGGAATTATCAAATTATGTGATTTAAATAAAAATTAAATCTATTTTTTCATTTATATAAACTTTATAAACATATATAATAATCGACTTTTTAAGAAATTATCATTTGAAATTACATTTTCCCTCTAATGATATAAGAATAATTTATAATTTTCTTAATAGTTAATTCCTTGTTATTGAAAGTCCGGAGTTGAAAATACGATATATATATATGTATATTATTAGGCCTATATACTGTATCTGGAGCAACTATTACTTGTTCTCTTGTAATATTAGTAGATTTAGAAGCTATCTAGATTCATTAAAATAATATTTCAAATTATATTCTGTTTTTATATTTACAAAATTATCAATAAAATTACTAAAATTTATTTATTTTTTAAAAATTTTTCGTTCTTAACACCATGCGCCTGGGCAAACTCTCTACTTGACCCACTCTTGTTAAGATTATGAAGAATAAAATATATAAAGAAGCGTAAGTTTATATTCCCATTTATTTTGGCATCATTAATATATTTTCTTATTGTTTTGCTTTTCTATCCAAGGAACTTTTAACATTCTTTTCAGCATTCATGTCTCAAAGGCTTTACTCTTTATCTTATTGTCCCTATTTATTGTGAAAATCTGTTAATAAAAACTTTCACAATAAATTGTCTCAAGCAAGAAATTCAATTGTTAATAAAATTGTTTGTGGTCTATGATATAGACTATTCAATAAAAAATAAATAAATACTGAAATAACATGTCACATTACAGTTTTCGACGTTATAAAAACAAGTATTATTGCTATAGTAATAGATTTAATCTCATAGCTTAACATCATCATCTTATATAATAATATATTTATTCTCAGATTAGAGGATTATAGTTTAGAATTTATGTTCATAAATTACTAGGTAGCTTACATTTAGAAACTAGTCTGTACTTAGGTGAAAAATGGCCATAAATTGATACACAGATTGCTTGCTTTAAGAAATTCTTTAAATAGAGTATAATAATATAAATTTAAATATTTAAATATATTTATAACATGTCGTAAGATATTAAATTCAAGCTGAAATTAAATAGTCGTTACTTATGTAAATGAGATGAAACAATTAGATTCAGAGATGTTATTAAAATAAGAATAATGTTGGAACAGAAGAAGCAGAAATTGAGGTAGAATTTTACAGAAAGGTATAGGCTACTATACGTAAGCCTATATTTTAATGAAATGTGATGAAAGGAGTATAACTCTTGATAATTATAATTTTTGTATATCTTTTTATATAAAACGTAATACTTTATTGTACTGTATTATAAATAGACTGTAAGTGCAACATACAGCGTGTCAATTTCCATAATTCTCCAAAGACTAAGCTGTGTTTTGTTCTTTATTTTGTCAAAATGATCGATCATGTTCTTTTTTTTCTGAAGTGTTATCGGAAACTTTTTCTGATAGTCATTACAGCAAATATTCTGGTTGGATTTTTTATATTTGATTATATTCAAATTCTCAAAATCGAAAATTTCTTTTTTAACTCTTCCCCGAGGGCCCAAAGAGAATTTTTTTCACGCCCATTATAAGTTCTTCCATTCACAACGAAGCAACTTAATGGTGAGGAAATGAGTCCTACATATCCGTGCCAAATTATCCACGAAGATTTCTGAGGATCTGAACAGGATTCGGACTCGCACCTCTCAGAATGCCAAGCATGTGCCTTAATTAACCTATTTGTATATCTAAACTGTAAAAATTTCAACGTGTAATTAAAGAAAGTGACCAATCTAACAACAAATTGCATCACAAACGTATATCAAAAGCAAATTGATAATTAAATGACAATTAACTTAGGAAAAATAGAAGAGAAGAGGCCTTGTATTTTTTGTCAATATTACTATACAACATTTAAAAATATCTTTCTACATTTACGCAGAGAGATATTAAAGTAAACAACATATAAAGTTTTTCAAAATAAAATATATATTATTATTTCACATTATAGCAAATAAAATAATAATAGAAACAAAAACAAATAATGAAAACATTGTAGGGGTAAAAAAAGACCATTACTCGTGTCTATGATGTCTTTGTGAAGATTTATCGCGACATTTCTTTTCGTATCGTAAATGTTCTGATTTTATAAAGTAAACACGGACCACCACACAGACATCCATAGATTATTTATAACCCTTTCTTCGTTACAACAAGAGATAACAATTTGGATGAAAGCATTTTTATCTATAATTTTGTGTCAAAAATAGTAACCAGTGGACATTTATATGAATTAAAATTGATTTCTAGTTGTCTTTCCTCCTTCGACCTTGGCGTCTTGTAGTCTGACCCTAAATGACCCAAGTTTGGCTTCTACACTCTTACTATTGAATAACCAATGAGGTTCTTTGACTGGGCCGGCACGGGGTTATACTTTGACTTATTGTCCCTCATCTCTCAAATGCCGGAAGAGTTGAGTAGAAATAGGAAAGTGAAGGAGGATCTGGGAGTGAAACTGACCAACCTAGCGGACATTGTCCTCTGTTTTGGCGCCCAAAATTCTGCTTTTAAGAAAGTGGGTGCAGTGATGATGGTGCAACGATGGTCTTACGGAACCGAGGTGAATTACCTTCAAGGTAAAGGGCGGTTGTTCTGCGTGGTGCGATATCGTAGGTGATCTTGTTTTATGCTTAAATGAAAAACTTTAGATCCTTTGGAAAATAAAAAGATGGGAGTTGGAAAATCTATAATTATCATTTAAACGGCTATTGATTTTTATAAGCTTATGTTAGTGAATGATATTTAAATAGTATACTCGATTAATCAATATGAAAAATAGATCAATAATGTAACCTACGACATACAAAACTTGAGAGAAATTTTCATATAACATAAACTTGTTCTTGCTTTTTTTTATTATATTTTTGTACTTTTTTTAAAATTAAAATATAGAGATTATTCATAAATATCACCTGTAGCTAACTTATAAGAATATATACAGTAAATTAAAGTTGATGTGACCTACATTAATCAGATAAAATGAAATACTTATTTCTAGTATTTTTGTAATGATATTTAATTTTGAGTTTGCATAAAAAGAAATACAAATAAAAGAATTAACTAGTTTAAACTTTAACTGTTTTCACTAGCAATTCTCAATCAGTGGTACACGTACCACCGAGGGTACGCAAGAAGGATACGTTAGTGCTACAAGTCTATACATAGAAGGCTCAGATGTTTGCGAGTGAAAAGGGATTGAGAACAGCTGGTTTAATTATGAATAATGACGAATCTCCAACTTCTTGAATCAAACTTCTATAAAATTAAAANTCAATGCTTTTTAGAATAAAATTGGGAATAATAAACTCTATAGTCTAGTGATTACAAAACTTAATTTATTTTCATTTGATGTAGGCTGTATGTGCCCATAACTGACTTGTAGAAATAAAATATTCTGTAATTTATGCTGTATTATAAGGGAATTTCACTTATGTCTTAGCATCTTCCCTTTTTGTAAATAGATTACTCTAGTTTTTATATCTATCTATGCAAGTATTCTGGAGTAATCATTCCATAATGGGATGATTATTCCAAAATACTTAAACAAATTCTAAAACGCATTATATTAAAAACGGTTCATAAAGGGTATGGATATTAGTTTTAAATTATTTATTTACTTTTCTTGTCTTTATTAAATAATTATTTTAATATTTTATTATAGATAAAACTTATTGTATAAAATTTGTGTATATTTTTCATCGTAGAAGCAACAAATTTGATTGACATAAACTAAACAGACTTACCATAATGGAAAAATAAACTTTAAACAGTCATTAGAATTTATAATTTGACAATTTTATGAAATTATAAATTGACACGTCAACTTTTATAAATCGTACAAGTTTTGTCAGACAAATATGTTTGCATTTGTAAAAATTATGAAAAATTTATTCTTGTTTAAATACAATATATCAAATAAAAGTACTTCTAAAGCCTGAAAGCTTCATTTAGAAAATATTTATTTTGTTTCTAAACGCTAAGAGTAGAATTTAAATACACGTTACGTTCTATTATTAAGACTAATCGTAATTTTTAAAAGTTGTAAACGGTAATTAATTAACTTTCAGTTTTATTATTTTGACTGTGGACATGACATTGACGCATTCTACATTATGGTTTTGGCATTAATTAATGTTAATAAATAAAGAAAATGTTAATAAATTTAATAGTTCTCATTATCTGGAAAATTAGTTCAAGGCTCACTAGAAATTAATTAATTAAATGAATGAATGTGTTTTTTGACGGTATAAGCCCGTGGGTGTTGATTTTACCGTTGACCCCGTCCTTGCGAGGACCACCTACCGAAGAGTAGGAGGTAAACTGACAAACAGAAGTTCATTGTGATAAGAAAAGAGGTGGAACCGTTGCTAATTATTTCTATGTTAATCCTTTGACTTAATATAACGATATGTCTATTTAAAAGCATCGTCTTCAGAAGCTTTTCTTGAAAAGAATTCAAATTTATATAAACAGTATTCGTGCGTAAGTGTATTTTATACGCAGTATTTTCTTTTTCGTGACGTAATAATTATCTTGTAATAAATGAAAATGAAGTAAGGCATCATTCTCTTACATTTTGCTGAAATAATTCAAAAAAATAAAATTTTTAATGATATTTTATTCAATATTAATACTTAATACTTCGCTAGTTACTACACATTTTTACATGTTGTATTAAGGTTTTTTCTTTCTTTTTTTTATGTTTCGATTGTGCTGTTTGAATAGCTTATAAATGAAGAAGTAGGCGAAAATACTTTTAATATAAAAAGATTATAACGTTGTTCTAACATTAAGTTATAATTGTAAAAAGGAAAAAATAATTTAAAACATTTAAAAAAGATTATATTTGTATCAATAGAAAACTTTAATAGGTATAATGTACTGTACTGTACAGTACAAGAGATTAAATTGTACAAAAAAAATCTTATTCATATTTTAGGAATTTTTTAATTTAAAAAACTGCATTTTAAGAACAAATTGATGTAATATTCTCCATGACAAACTAGGCTTATCATTAACATTTAAATTAAAATGTTAATGACTACTAAATTATTAAGATTACTAAATTTATAAATTTAAATTTTAGCATAAATTTTAATAAAGTATTAATTTGAAGAAAAATTACTGATGAATTACAGCATATCAAAATTTCGGAAGGAATCGAGTAACATCCTAATTACCACTATTATAATAATGACAGATTTATCTTTAACTCTATCAACGTATTTTAATTTGTAGCAACGACTAAACTTTTTTTTATGTTTGTTTTTTCACTTTAATCTATCTTTGCTCTTTATTAATTCTGTTACGGTAAGCCTGTTACGCCTTCTGATGTTAATGAATAAAGAACCCGAGTAGAAAGAAGATGAGATTTTTGTTAAGATACAATGACACAAGCCGATAAATTTTAAAAAAGAATACAAGTAAACTTCAAATAAATGTTCACAAATTTAGAACTAAGAATAATTGAATTATGTTCTATTTCTAGTCATTAGGAATTAAAATTGAAAACATTTTGAATGTTGTAGATATTGCGGATTATATGACGAATGTAAGTCATTATAATTTATAACTGTCAAAAATATCTAGAAAAAACATGGAATTCTTACCTAAATTTACTATAAGTTCGGGTGACTTCTATCCTATATTCACGTATCTTCCGCATGATTTATAACATCGACGGAAGGCCACGTGATGGTTACATCAGGTGATGGCCTCGAGCTCCTGTCGATAAAGGGGTCGTGGGGGTCATAGGGGCAGGTTGCTCGGCGCCTCTGTGGGTGAAATTCGCAGCGGGTGAAACACTCACTGTCCTACTACCCGGGCAGAGAACGGCTACTGTTACTTTGTACAGTTTGACTAACTCGCAAAATATCAATGTTTATTTTTCGACCTACCTACTGCAAGCATTTCAAAAGTCAAATAACAAACACAGAAGAGTCTATTTCATCGAAGTCTTGCCAATATTTTCTATTCCTTCAACTACATAACTACAGAACTAACAAATAAGTGATCTATTATCAATCGAATTTTATAATCATATTTTACTTTTTTTACATGTTTATATAGTATATAAAAGGTTCTAAAAAATCAAACAAGTAATAGATTTCTAAACAGATATTAATTATTTAATTCTTAATATAGTACTCTGAATTTATCAATATAACTTGTAGGTTTAAGTCGAGATTTGCATAATATTTTAACCTGAATAAAATAAATTTCCATACATAAGGGTTTAAATCAGATATCTATACTTACTATTGACATATGATAAATTATATGCCTAACTATTTTGAAACTAGCACGGTTAAACTATTTATAAGCCTAAAAATATAAATACTCGTAAAGAATCTAATATAAGATGTTATAAAAATAATTAGTTCAATAATGCAAGATTATATCAACCTGACTTAAATAGGCATCTCCAGTTGCAGGAAAAAATAATTATATATAAATATAGAGTATTATTACTTTAATAAAAGCTGAAATAAAATTTTTAATAAACAGAATAAAAGCATTACAAAGGAATATATATATATATACATTTATTTTTATTCTTAAAATATATTCAACGAATTTATTTAAAGTACGAAATTTTAATGCGCTTAACAAGAAAGTCACGAATGCAGAATTCATTTCTCTTTTCTTCGTTGATGCAAACATTTAAAATTTAAATTAAATTAAAGCGAATTTTTGACTGAATTATGACAAGTGTGAAATAAGTTAAATAGAATCTGACGTCAGCTTCCATCACATGATACCAGTTTTAGTTGAAACAAGTCGACGGTTCAAAAATAGGAAAGAGTAATGAGATAATCTTAGAAACTTGTATTTCTGAATTGGAAACTAGGTTTAACAAGAAAGTACGGTACGTGCGATAGTAATGTATTTAAATTGTTTTTCCTATATTCTTAAATTGGTAAAAAATAAAAGATTTTCAATAATGTAAAACTATTATGTTAAATTATCACACTGAATTATTTATAGGCTATACTTTATAATATAATAAACAATATTCTATAAAAATTTTGAAAATTTTTTGTGACGGATAATTTTTATTATTAATAAATCCCTATAATTGCTTATTTTTTGCAAAAATAAATAATTATGTGTTAATCATAACTTATATTTAAGCTTATTCTAAGAACATATTACGAATTACAGATCTTATGTAAGCAGAGTATGTCAAATTCTTATAAACTATAGCCTATATATAGACTTAAATTCAATTTAGGCTCATAATGAACTGGAGTATAAATAAAACTAATGTCTGTATTTTTTTTTACTATAATACCGTGACATTATGACATATGAATTTGTGAATAAATTTAATGAATTTAGCTTAGTCTATGCAAGCATAGTTATTTTATTTTCTGGACATTTTATAAATAGAAATTGCTATCTTCTAATCATAAAAGAAAAATAAAAGTAGACCTACTATTCATTTAATCCGGGAATTTTTTGAAAATTTTCTTTTAATTAATCTGCTTTTTTATAGGTCTATTCATGGAGTGAATCATACAACGATGTAGGTCAGAGTTAAAATTAAAACTTTACTTTTAAAACAAAATTTAAAAAATAAACTGATTAAAGAAACTGAATTCAGAAGAGTTAGTTTGATTTGTTTTTAATAAAAATTTAATATCAAAGTACGAAGTAATAAAAAACAAATCGAAAAATTCTTGTAAGTCTAGAATGATATAAAATGACACTATCGCATATTAGTTATTTTAATAGATGACAACAAACAAGTTAGTATACGAACTGTCTCATTAGAAGTACTGTACAGTACATCCTATATGAGTCAGAAGATACGAGCGAAAAAAGATTTGACCCTCCACTTCAAGGTCGAGTGTCTCTCTTAAGTTCCTCTTCCATCGAATTCACACCGCGATTGAATATTCTAACACATAAGTAAAGATTGTTAGTAAGATGGTTGTGATCTATTGAAGTCTCCCGGTTGTCGGATCGAAAGAGGGTTGGAAGGTCAAAGGTGAAGACGTGCTGAGAATACAGGGAGCTGCACTCATTTGGAAGCATCGGTTCCGAGTTTATAAGCACCCTGCTGTATATCACGGTGCTGAAGAGGTGGTGAGTGCAGTTTAAAAAGTAACGAGCGCTGGTGGTTGAGTGAAAGGCTCGGGCGATGTGTGGCAGTGTCACGGATTCCTGGAGGCTAGTGGGGGCAAGAGGTGAAATATAGTGGCCACTGCTACATAATGAGTTCAGAGTTCATACTCATGGGTCGTGATGGTCGAGGTCACTCACCGTACCTATTGTTTCTTGTAGATTAAATTGTTCTGTGTTAGATGTTGGTCGTGTCCTACCCGTGGTCGTTTTAAATAGAGTTGTTCGTGATGGTAAAGATGTGGAATGCTGCAGGTTGGTTCAGGGGTGATGGCGGTTCTTTGAGGTCTTTGCAGATGCGAAAAGTCAAGATTTAAGAAATTACAGATAAACAATAGACTTAATACTTAAAAATTTACACGTAAAAAGCCTTGTTCAGTAATGCAGTGGTGAGATTTATCATAAGGATATAGGCCTATAAAATTTTTTTCTCTCTACAGACCTATTAAGAATACTATTATTCTTAGAGTTCAGGTTATGTATTTATAAGTTATGTATGAGTTATAAATATAAATAAAATTGATTTGATTCTAGTGAATTTAATAAAATAAAGAACTTTTTATTTTGCAAATTAATTAAACTCTATAAAAAACAATAAATAAATTTTGTCTGCAGTAATTGAGAACCTACACTTAACGAATACTATAGAAAATATAGTTTTTTTTGTATATTTATACAAAATAATTTTTTGTTTTAACAAACATGTTGTATTTTACATTAAAAAAACCTAATTATTAAAATTTTGACAAATATTCTGCATTGAAGATATTGGATAATTTGAATAGAATATAGTTCGAAAGTTTGTAAAAGTTGAATTTAGTGTTATGTTAAAAAATGAAAATAACACTAAATTCAACACTAAAACAATTTTTATATGATATTTTTGATAGATTGATTTATTCTAATTAAGAAATATCATTCTTAATGAAAATATAATTATAAAATCTCAATTTCCCCTAGTTATAGTCAATTATTCTAATGGCTTTAAAATGATTTAATACAGAAACAGGTAAAATAAATCAAAACTCATAGGCCCATACACTAAAAATGATTAAAACTTTAATCTTCGTTTTGATTTATGACGCAATCATAAGATGCGCTTGGATAGAATTAGGTCTTTATTCTTGAGTTTGGCAATTCACTTTTTAATTTTCCATTTGTGAAATTTGTTTTCGTATAAGCAGAGATAAGTAGGCCTATTCACACTTGGCCCTAATATTTTCTAAGCCCGAAGCCATTGTCAATCTTATACAGTAAACTCGAGCCGGACTTCGGTCACCCAGGCAATTAAGAATACGGCTTTTGGTATTCCGGACACCCAAACTCGTCATCCGAAGAATAGCGTGATCTATGGATCACGTGATGGGAATACGTCAAACGACGCTTTTCAGACAGAGGTCATCACCTTCATTTCGCATTAACTTGGTTTTGTATTCAATTCAAATGAACATTTGCATGTTGATAACACTATTTCGGTTTAACAAGGAGTGAATGACCAACTACTTGAATCTTATTACATCAAGACACATTTCTGATGCTAGGCGTGAGTAGCTACAGTAAATAAGTTACATTTAAGCATTCATTTAAAACTCTCCGAGAGATTTTAGCTACTGGACTCCTTTGGCTACTTATCCGGATAATAGGGATAGAATCAATTTAAAACTTCCGCTGTTTACAGAAGTAGAAGGGAACATAAATGAAACAAACAGTACAAAAATCATAAGAAATTAACGCAAGCTTTTTTATTAGATTTCTGCAAATGTATTTAGCCTACAATTAATAGTCTCATAAAAAATATAGACAATACAAATGGCTGAAGTAAATAACATAACATGACGACGAAAAGTTTATTCGAAGATATTTTTAAATTACTTTGTAAACAATATTTGTTTTTGCTGTTACAAGATCAAAACGTAAGTTTAAACTTACAAAAAATCTTAATTTTCTAATAGAAGAACAAAGGTTTTTGACCTGTAGCCTAGATGCACATATGTACTGTACAATGGAACTTCCAGGTATTGTTTAGGATTAATTACATAAGCTGACTCCAAAATCTAGTACGTTTTTCCTATTCTATGCAGATCTCTTAGTACTACACTTCTTGCAAAGTTAAATCGCAAATTAACTTGTCTTAGTCTTTATAAAATAAAATATTTTTTTACAGTAAATTATGTAAAACAAGAATGAAAAATTTTATATTTACGACTTTCAAATTCGCCCGTTTATATTTAATTGCTATTGGAAATGATGAAGTATTTACAAATTCCTAGCACAGATAACCTGGAATCAGTAAGCTTACTTTATAGTTCTTATGCATCGTTTTTCGAGTCCACGTTTGCAGATATTGACGTCAATTTATGAGTTTGTCATTCAAAAGTAAAAAACCACCAGAAGAATGCCTAACGGAAGAGTCATTCTTTCCTCGTTTTGATAAAGGGAACCGAAATGTCTGACCAAGGTATAGACTAGAGACATAGATTTATGAATAAGACGTCTTGTGTACAGCTCCAGAAAGGATTACGCTATCCCGGAATCTCGACAGTATCGAAAAAATAAGAAAGAAAGAAAGAAAAAAAAAAGCTGAATGGATAGTCGACTGACTGCAGTAGTGCCGGCACGTGGACTGCTGGGGACATCGACTAGGCCTTTGAGACGTTCTGTGTAGTGTATATATTTTTTAAATCTTTCCCCCTCCACGCGACTCGCCCATAGCGATCAATGGGTGGTAGACAACCCACGAAGCATTCATATTCGACGAAACTTCGTTTAGAATGTTTAACAAGGTAAACTTTCAAAGACTTATCTTTTTAAAAATTCTAAACAAGATTTATTCGGGCCCTTTC